ATTACCATGCCCCGCCTCTAAGCAATTCCATCAGAATCCCTGAGGCTCTGGTCCAGGTAGCAGTAATTGCCAGAGTTCCCTGGGTGGTTCTAACATGAGATCCATTTCACTGAAACATCTCTGGTTGTATCCCTGGGGCCCACAACCAAGCATGATTCAAAGTAGACACTTCCCCTGTGCTTGGTAAATAAATGAGTGAAGATTATGACTCACCTTTTTCTGCTGCTTCTTTGTTCATAATTAATGAGGGAAAAAAGTTCAACCCAAAGTAAAAACTACAGAGCAGCACTTTCCAATAGTAAATCATACAAGGAAGAAAAAGTTCTAAAATCTGTGCTGTTCACCACAGTAGCCACAAGCAAAATGTGGCTGTTGCATACTTGAAATGTGACTGGTATGATTGAAGAGCGAGATTTTCCATTTTATTTAAGGGTAAATTTAAATATCTGCATATGACTCATAGTTCCATATTGGACAACACACATATGGAATGTCTGCATTTATAAGCTATTCCTGGTACACCTCTATATCCCTTTTCAGGGTACTAACAGCAACCTCCATTACTCCCTGCCTCACCACCTACAATGTGGCCAGATGTCTAATTTAGTTGGCACTCCCCTCTTCCAGCCAGGGGAGAGGCCCAGGACCCAAGCTAAGTTCACCAGACTCTCCTCTCTGGGAATTAGACTCCAGCTTTAGTGTCTCAAGAACAGAAAATGAGTCAGAGCAGATTGGTTAGATTGTTGACGCCCTAAGACACTATGGATTCTTTTCTAGAACATAATTACTCCGGAGTGTGATAAGAACATTGGTAATATACATGATGTGTGAGCTAATAAACATCATTATCATCATTCTTGTCATCATCAAAATCACTGGCACCCAGCAGTTCCGAGGTAACAGTTCTTGTACGGGGGACACAGATGCCTAAGCTTCTCTTAAACATTATTGCTACATCTGTAAAATGGAACCATGCCAGTCCTTCTTCCAGAGTTTTTCTGATGACTGCAAAAAAGTGAGTATGATCGTAATAGCTTTGAGCCGAATAAGGAGTTAACCATATGTCTGTTATAGGTGCTGCTCCCAGGATGTAGGCGTAGGGGTGTCATGGGAGAGGAACAGAAAGAAGCCTGGGTCCTGTTGACAAGCTTGCAACCTCAGATAAGATATTTGTCCTCCTTAGGTGTTTGGCTGAGACTGAGTTCAACTCCTCCCTTTCCAGTTTCAACATCTTTTAAGGTATTTGAATATTCCCTTGTCTGAGGCATATTCTTTCCCATTTCTATATATGTGTCAGAAATGTTCTAGTCTAGACCATGGTATCTGGAACTCAACTTATTTCTTTTTTCCTCATCCTTCGCTTCAATGGATAGTGTCCTGAATATGTACTACTTGCTATATCAACTAACTCTCTGGCAGAGGATTTCATGTGAATCATGTCTAACCATCTCCTCTACTAGTAGACCTTAAGCACTAAAAGAACAAAGATCACATTCCTCTTGTTTCTGTAACCTCAGTGCCTGGTACAGACCCAGGAAGACAGAGGTGCTACTTTAAAAGTACTTGTTATTGAATGTTTGCCTGAATACTTCCTCTATTATTATTTATTATAAATGCTCCAAATCTATTTCATTTGAAGAAATCTACAGACTCAGTTATGTGATACTGCATAACAAATTACCCTCTAAAAATTATCATCTTTAAAAAACCAGTGATCATGTGTTATCCCAATTTCTTTTTTTTTACATTAATGATTTAATAAGTATTCAACCATGGTACTTCATTAAATAGAGGTGTTATCCCAATATCTAAGCAGAGGAAATGCAGATAGAGAAGAGTCAGGTTGGCTTGTCTTTAGTCCATGTTTGGGACCTTGGTGCCAAAGATTGAGGGACTAGAAATCTCTGAAATCCCAGTTTACTAGCTGTCTGATGAGTTTTCTGGCTGCCAGCTGAGGACTTCTTGGGTGATGTCAGGCAGAACACCTTCACCTGGCCTTGCTCTGCAGCTTAGGCTTCCTTATAACATGGAGGGTGATGACTACTGAGAGACCTCTGTCTCCTTTGTAACCTAATCTTAAGGATCACACACTGCCACTTCTATTACAGTCTATTTATTAGAAACAAGTCCCTAAGTTCAACCCACACTCAGAGGCAAAAAAAATTGGACTTTGGGGGCTAGGAATGTGGCTTAGTGAAAGAGTGTTTGCCTAGCATGCATGAAACTCTGGGTTTGATTCGTCAGTACCACATAATCAGAAAAAGCTGGAAGTGATTCTGTGGCTCAAGTGGTAGAGTGCTAGTCTTGAGCAAAAGAAGCTCAGGGACAGAGCCCAGGCCTAAGTTCAAGCCCTAGGCCTGGCAAAATGAAAAAAGAAAAGAAAAGATTAGACTTTTGAAATGAATGGTAAAGAACTTGCAGACTTATTTTTAACAAATTATAAGTACTTGGCTAACACTATAAGAAAGAATAGGGTGAAAATTAAGTTCTGGAAGAAGGATTCCAGTTCAAATTCTGGCTCTGTCACTTTTTAGCTATGTGAGCTTGGGGAAATTACTCTGAGACTTGGTTTTCCCACATATACATAGAAGGTGGCTGTTGATGCTCTCTCATGACATTGACCTCCTTGGACTCTCCCCTCAGTAAACCTAAGAGAATGGAGGGACTTTCTTGGATTCCTGGGACCTAGTGTCCTGGAAATGACTCCAGAGGCAGCAAGAGGCCATGACTCAAACTCAGGGGACTCAGGAAGTTCTGGTTTGGGGGAGGGTTTTAAGGAACAGATGGGGAGCCCGTGAGGACCTGGGAATTCTCTAAGGCCTTCTTTGTCTAATGGAAACCTCCGAATGTTGAGAAATATAGCAACTATGAACCTAAGAGTAAGATGGAAGGAACACACTGCTGGAACCGTGTGAATTAGTTTGCTTTGAATTACTACCATGAAATACCTATAGCAATTAATATAAAAAGAAAAGGTCCCATGTATAGCTTTGGACTTGAGAATAGAGGAAAACTCTTACAATTCCAGCTTTGGGGGGAGGGTGAGAGAAGGGAAAAGAAGAGGGAGAGAGGGAGAGAGAGAACAGACACAAGGAGAGGGAGGGAGATACCCTGATCCCAAAATCCTCCAGGGGGATCTGCCCCCAATGAGCTAAGATCCAATAGCATCATCCGGGGGCCCAAGGCACTTTAATGAATGTGCCTATGGGGGCCTGTCAGCACCGAACTCAGAATTCAAGAACTGGCATTTCCCACGGGATAGGGTTGCGAAAACTAATTACTGGTCGGGGGAAGGGAAGAGTCTTAAAGCACAAACTCCGCTGCGGACTTTATTAGTACAGTTCTTTTTGCTGGTGCTGGCGTGCTGCTGTGTTGCCATGTTCTGGGTGTTACACCCTGTAGAATGGGGGAGGTTGAGTCTCCCAAGTCCACAAATCACAGCCAAAGGTCAACTGCACTTTCATTCTTTGGGGGTGTGGAGGGGAAGGGGGCTTCAATTCCCCCAGCCATCGCCTCTGGCTGCTGGGTAGCAGTCCGGCCTCCCTCCACCCTGTTCTGCAGGAGCCTGGGCTCCAGAGCGCGCAGTGCAGGGCGGGAGACGGGGCGACCTCCGGGGCAGCCCCTTCCCATCCGTGCGGGTTCTCGTGCGGATGACCAGGTGTCTCTTCAACCCCTTTCCATAGGTGCTCACTCCCAGACCCTAGAGCTCCTCTCTTTAAGGATTTTTTTGCACGGCAAAGGGGACTCTAGTCACCTAGGCTGGAAAACGGGGAAACTGAGGCTTAAAGCCGTACGGGACCTGTCAAACTTTCCCAACCCAAACAAGCGCTTTGAACCCCTGCGCTCGCGGCTTCCCACCGAGGGCCTGTTACCGACCGTGGGAATTCCTGCCGCGCCAGCAATCTCCCGGAGTTTGCGCGGTTGGGCCCGCTGTGAACTTCCTCGGCAGCTCCGCAGCGACTGGAAGAGAGATGGGAGGAAGGGCGGGACAGCCCGCAGCATCCCGGCGCTAACCTGGGGCCGAGCGATGGCTGCGGGAGGCAGAGGACCCGGCGGGAATGCGCTGGCCCTTTAAGGGGGGGACCAGGCGCATGCGCGGCGCTGGCCCCAG